ATAAAGATGGGAAGTGGAAATAAGTTTCCAATATGTAAAGCAGATTTATTCCTCGTTTCATATGGACTTGTTCCGGGTCTCTGCTTATGAATCACAGCGTGCTCCCTGCCATAAGATGCTGTCCATGCAGTTGGTTATGATAAATGGCCTGTAATTGTGAATCTGATATTGGTTTTCAATATTAAATTTATCATTCTGTCCTCTTAACAGATATTAAATACTTTTAAGAATGTATACATTTGCCTGATCCATCTGTGATTTTTCAATATGTAAAATTTATTAGTTTCCTAGTTTTTTGAGATTTTAACAGCCGACAACATCATTAATAATTCTGAGTAATGGAGCTGACCTCTTTAAACCTCGTTCCCTTCCACTAATTCAGAACATCCAAATTGAATCAAAATGTATTCGATTTAGGGACCCCAAAATGAAAACGTTCAGCAGGGTACCTGACTGAAACGCGGCTTCCCCAGGATGGTCACCCTTTGGCCTTTTCACCTCTAAGCCCCTGGCAGAGGGAGCCAGGCTGAGGCTGCTCCTCCCAAAGATGAGCGAGCTTGGGCAGCCCGCCATTCCCTCAGCTGCCTCAGTTTCTTTAGTGCGGAGTGATTGATGATAATAATAATGCCGCTTGTCTGGCTCCCTCACGGAGTGCGCTCTGTGAATTAATGGAAGCGTGCGGGCTCTGCACAGGAAGAGCCCCCTCCCGGAGGGCCCCTTGCTGCCCTGGAACTCTATTCAAGCTTGGCTGGTAAGGCTCCCTGCCCTTTTCTGTTGGGATAGTGCAAAAAAAGGCTGGAAGGAATCAGGATGCATGAAAGAGAAACAAGGCTGTGTGAAACACCAACAACAAAGCGGGACGTGCCCTGCCCCTTTGTCCTGTGTGTTTAAGGCCGCGCCTGCATGTGGCCACCAGAACAGCATGAAGCTAGCTCAGGGTCAGGATTTGGGATTGTGCCTTTTCTGGGTTTGTCATTGCTGGGTTTTGTAGCGCCTTCAAGGTTACACCTCACTTAGTCCCTTCCCAAGTTGGAACTGAGAAGCACAAAGGCCTATAGAACCGAGCTCTCAAGGTCAGGGGTCATGTTGACCACCAACCGCAGGAAGTCCCTTCACCAGGGCCCAGAGGGGCTGGAACCAGTGCTGTGCACACAGGCCCTGTGCCTCATGACAGGCCTTGGGAGAGATGGAGAGCACACTTAGGGACCCAGAGGGTCACCTTCTCAAGGCAACTGCAGATAAGCAGCCCACTGCAGCCTCCAACCTGTGGATGATTGAAAAATAACTGCCTTCTCTTCCCAAGGCCTAATTTCGTATTCCTGCGGCAGCCTGATTGACTTTCAGTCCGATGCAGACCGGCTTCTTTGGGAGTTTTACCTATTTAAGGATTGTGGGCTGAGATCAAACCTATCAGGAGAAACTGGGAGCTGTCAATAGGGTCACTGAGAGGAGAAAAGTTTCCAAAGGGCCCCTGAGTCAAGAGGAAACTTCTTTTTTACCTGGCCTCCTGGCCTCCATCCCATAAATTACCCCAGAGGAGGGAGACCAGAAGCCAAGTCTCCAAACTCCCTATGCAGTGCTTTTCTGCCCGGCCAGCATATGATTCACAAACTGTTACAAAGGAAGATAGATCGTCCCCAAATCACAAGCATTTCCGAACCTTTTGTAGACTCAGCTTTTACTCCCCGGGCCTCTTGCTACACGTTTCATATAAATGGCTAACCACCTCACAAACCCATCCCTCAACGCTTACGGTAATTTTAACCTGGCAAATGTTTATTGAGTACCTACGAGTATCTAGATACTTAGCAGTAGGCCAACTGCTATGGAAATATCAAAAAATATATATGTAAAATGAAGTCTCTATCCTCAGGTAGGATTTGTAATGGCACTGCGTTTAATGATTAATTATTAAACATTTGCTGCATGCCAGCTGCTGCAAAGACACAGGAAAAAGAATCATACTTAGTCCCTTCCCAAGGAGCTTACCTTATTAGTGAGAGAAGATCGTCACATACAGCTCATACAGCTCATTGTCACATACAGTTTGTAGTAAAATATAAAGTTGTGTGGTTGAGCAATGAGGACAAAAGAGCTGGGCAGGATCCACGTAGGAAATAACAGAGTAAACCTCCTGGAGAAGGAGGCAGCAGAAATGGGCATGAGAAATGGATAGGATGCGGACAGGCAGAGAGGACAAAATAGATGTGCGTGTGGGTGTGCGTGTATTCTCAGGAATTACTATCTTTGTTATGCAGCCCTTCAAATATCTGCCCACACCTTCAGGCACTTTCCCACACGTATCTGACAAGGGACAACAAATGTTCATGGAGCACTTGCCTCATGCCAGGAGGCATTCTTCATATGCACTCATTGCCACAGGCATCTTTCCCAACCACCCAACCAAGGAGATATCATGATCCCCTTTTATGGGGGAAGACCCCCTGAGCTCAATGGGAAAATCATTTGCCCAAGATGGCATCACCAGTATTGGCCAGGCCGGGATTCAAACCTTGGCCTTAGCACCAGTGCTCATAATCCTTTACCACTGAATCACATGGACTCTAGAGAGTGGCCGTACTCCAGAAGGCCATGCTAGATGAGAATCTAGAAGGAAGAGGACGTAAAGGAAAATGGCTTGATGACTGTCCTTCTAAGCATGACCAGGCCAGGTGCTATGAATTACAGGGAACAGTAGCAGGAGATCATCCATTCACCTATGGAGACAGTCCCTACAGCATCCCCTTATGGCAAATGCAGTCCTCTTGAGGCTACAAGGCTCTCTCCTGCAGCAGCTGGAGTCCCCGTGGAGACTCCTCGTCCTTCATCCTGGGCAAAGCAAGCTCAGTTAGGTTTGGTGCCCAGAGAAGGGCCAGCTCTCAGCTGCATCTTCTGCTAAGGGGCGTGAAAGGAAAGGAAGACACCTCACTGAAAATACGTATCATTTCAGCACTTCAATGGGTCCTGTTTTAAACCAAGATCAGTGTAATTAAAATTAAAAGAAAATAAGACCAAAGGATATCCCCTCACAGTTCTTAATTAGGTGCAAGGTAAGAAAAAAGAAATTCTGGTAGAGCTTATGTAAAAGGCGTAATCCTGACATGGGACCAAAACAAAGACAATAATTAAAATGAAGGCATCATTCTTGTTTTTTAGAAGGTTCTCTGTAGGCAGAGGGGTCTGATTGGCAGACAAAACACATGAGGGGCATGTGCTTCTTCTCAGAGTGACTGTTCTGAAGATGACTATGCAGGAAGCTCTGGTCTCCAGGACCTCTTTCCTACATTCCCCGAGTGGGTCCAAGATGGGAGAACAGGAAAAATACCAGGGTGTCAGGATTAGTGGCAAGGAACCCTAGCCTTGATACATTAACATCAAATACAAGAAGTGGTTAAATCTCTTAACCACTGGCATGCAGGAGGTGAGGTTACCACATCATTATTGTCCTCATCATGATGGCTACTGCTATAAACATTTACCTGCACCAGCATTGTACTTAGCACAGCAGAGCATAAATGAAGATACAGCACCTGCTCTGAAAATAAACACCTACGCTTCCCTACTGGTTTGTGCCCCAGCGGGGTGAGCCAGCCTTCAGCAACACAGGAATTCTCCACCCTCCCTCTGCCCCATGATGCTGTCTCTTCCTTTTCCCTGAGCAACTTCACCTTTCTGGATCTGCTTGGTGCCTCAGGGGCCCTGTCTGGGTTGCTTGGCCCTACACTGGCTTCTGTGGCCAAAGTCAGGGCTTAAAGAACAGACTAAGGGCAGAAGCAGACATAGGCAATCGGGGCCGAGATGGAGCTAGAACAGGCAGGGAGCATGCAGGAAAGAAAGCACAGTGTTTTCTTAGGACTGACATGTGAATCAAATTAACACTTCACTTAAGGTCAGCATCCTACTGCTCCAATCCTTTCATTTGTCTTACCACTTCATTCTGCAATCTCCTGCTTTACACTTTAAAAATCAAGACCCACGCTATAGTAAATTTTACCTTTGCAAGACTTTGGAACACGAAAGCATTGCCAAGTGTCCATGGCCATCTAAGAAATGTACAAATATTATATATACACATCAGTTCCTCAAGCAAAAGCCCCACTTTCCACTGCCAAATGTTATTTTTTACAGCAGGTCTGCCAGATGAGTGCAGGCGTATATTTCATCAGTGAGCCACTTTTTATAGAGTGGAAAAAAAAAAAAAAAGCCCCCAACACTTTTATTGCTTTTTAACCAACAGGATTTCTGAATGCAAATGAATGAATCACCTTTGTAACGATTGGCTGCCTGAGTTTCCTTGTCACACACAGAGCAGGCACCGTGGATGTGACTTGTATCTTCATGAGTCCAGGGAAAGATAAAACACTGACATTGCTACCAGTGAATTATGAGATTTGTCTTTATCAGTGACAATAAGGTCATAACGGAGCCCAGCCAACGCTTATTATATTTGTGTTCCATCTACTTTTTTGTATAATGTAATCCAGGCGTACCTGGGTAAGCTGGAGTAGCCCAGAGTATAAATTAGCCATTTTATAAAGCTGAATTAAGTCTGTAGGGCCACCAGACTTTTAATGCGTTGATGCCACTCTTCAATAGACACCAGTCTTCCTTTCTTTTGGCCTGCATTTCAATGGCAATCTGATCAAAAAGAGTAGCTAGAAGGACTCCCCTACATAATTTAAAGGTAGAAAGAAAAAAATAATATGAAGAACAATTGAGAGTCTTTAAAATATATATATATTTTGCGTGGCTCAGTGGTTGAGTGTTGACCTATGAACCAGGAGGTCACTGTTCAATTCCTAGTCAGAGCATCTGCCCAGGTTGCCAGATCCATCCCCAGTGGGGTTGTGCAGGAGGCAGCCAATCAGTGATTCTCTCTCATCATTGATGTTTCTATCTCTCTCTCCATTCCTCTCTGAAATAAGATTTTTTTAAAAATATGTATGCATTAACAATTTTAAAATTTATACAATTTTAACAATATGTAACCCATGTATTCATTCATTCATTCAATACATTTTTATTGAAAAGCTAATATGTACCAGACATTGTCCTAAGCCTGGGGAACAGTAAACAAAACAATGTCCTGTCCTTGTGGAGCTTACACCCAATGGGAAATATAGACAATAAGCACATACATTATATACATATTTTACACATACACATTTATAATGAGATGAGCATAATAGTAGATTCTGGATCCCAACTGCCTTGGTTCAATTCTACTTCTGTGAATTACTAGCAGCAGAACCTTAGGGGAGTTATATACCACCTGCTGTCTCAGTTTTCTCATCTGTAAAATGGAGATAATAACAATACCTAATTCACAAGGTTGAATGAAAAAAAAAAAAAAAAGCCCCCAACACTTTTATTGCTTATCAATTATGTAAAGTATTTAGTGTGCCAGGTACATAGTTTGTATTATATGTGTGTGCCAGTAATATAAATTCCCTACTTACTAGGTAGAGATAAATACCAAATTGAAAATAAAGATATCGAGAGGATGAGGGTACTATTTTAAACCAGGTAGTGGGGGAAGGTGTTTCAGAAGGAGGGGACATTTGAACTGAGATTTGAATGAGGTGACAGTACAAGCCATGCTAGTTATCAATGAAGAACATTTTAGGCAGAGAAAATGGCAAGTAGAAAACCTTGCAGTGGGACAGTGCTTGGTGTGACAAGGAGCAGCAAGATGCTAAGAATGGCTAAAGCAGAGGATGGAGAAGGACAGAAGATGAGACTGGTGACGTGGCCATGGATTGATAAATTGTAGGCCATAGTCAGGGTCTTGAATATTATTCTAAAAGTAATGAGAAGCCAATAGAAGGTTTTGAGAAGAGAGTGACAAAATTTGTTGAAAATCTTCTGTGTATGTAGGACCCTCAAAAAATTAAAAATCATGCCTGGCCAGTGTGACTCAGTGGTTGAGTGTTGACTTATGAACCAGGAGGTCATGATTCGATTCCCGTCAGGGCACATGTCTGGGTTTTGTGCTCAGTCCCCAGTAGGGGGTGTGCAGGAGGCAGTCAATCAATGATTCTCTCCATCATTGATATTTCTATCTCTCTCTCTCCCTTTCCACTCCTCTCTAAAATCAATAAGAATATATCTATTTTTTTAATATATTTTATTGATTTCTTACAGAGAGGAAGAGAGAAGGACAGAGAGCCAGAAACATCGATGAGAGAGAATCATCGATCAGCTGCCTCTTGCACACCCCCTATTGGGGATGTGCCCGCAACCAAGGTACATGCCCTTGACCAGAATCTGGGACCTTTCAGTCCGCAGGCCGACGCTCTATCTACTGAGCCAAACCAGTTTTGGCTATATATTTATTTTTTAAAAACATAACAAATACTGTATGATTCCACTTATACAAGGAACCTAGAGAGTCAAATTCTTAGAAACAGAAAGAAAAGTGATTATCAGGAGCTAGAGGGAGGAGGATATGAGGAGTTGTTTTGCAAGATGAAAAGAGTTCTGGAGATTGCACAACAATGTGAATGTAACACTACTTAACTGTACACTTAAAATGGTTTAAAAAATGGTTAAGATGGTAAGTTTTATGTTAGTTTTTTTTTCACCACAATTTTAAAAAAATATTCTGTGTGAAAAATAGACTGGTGGCAAGTAAGACTGGAAGCAAAGGAGACCCCTAGATGTTACAGTTATCCATCACTACATAGCAAACCAACCCCAAACTTAGTGGCTGAAAGCAACAACCATTTCATTATCTCTCATGATTCTGTGATGAACTGGGCTCAGCTGGGTGGTTCTTCTGTTCCATATGATACCAGATTGGATTGCAGTCCTATGAGGGTACAACTGGCTGAAATGTCCATGATGCTCATTTATATACCTCACACCTTTGTGGGACAGTGAAAAGGCTGGGTTGAGCTGGGGCACTGACTACTGGGCCTCTCTCACCCCATGCAGTCTCTGGGCCTCTCCCTCTTCACATGGGCTCTCCATGTGGTCTCTTCACTTAGTCTCTCCAGAAGAGTAACTGAATTTCTTAGAGATGGCTCAGGGCTCTCAGAAGTACAAAAGCCTCATGAAATACACAGAATCACATCATCCACCTTCTATTAATTAAACTCTCACAGAGCAGCTGAAACTCAACATTGTAGAACCACATGACTATAGGAGGTCCGGTTCATTGGAGAATATCTTTGGAGACTGGCCTTACAGGATTTCTGCGGAAATCCAGGTGAGAAAGACAAATGCTTAGACCAGGATAACAGCAGTAGAGGTAGTGAGAAATGCTTGATTTGAAATATATTTGTAATAAGATTTGCTGATGGCTTAAATATAGGGTAAGAGAAAAAAAGGGAGTCAAGGATGAGTCTAAATTTTTGGTCAAGGCAACTAAATGAGTGGTTTATCACCATCTTATCTTCTCATTCTCTCTGGATTTCTACTTCCTGATCTGGAAGATGTAAATAATAATACCTGCTCATCCAGCTTGTAAGGTCATCATGGAATTCAATGAAATCTTATACAGGATGGAGCAAAAGTAGGTTTACAGTTGTTCATTTGGAAAATAATATAGTAATTAATAAATAATAATACAAGAATAAACTGTTTCATGTACTCACAACTGCAAGCCTACTTTGCCCCACCCTGTATGTAAAAGCAATTATCTTGAGTTTGTTATAAAATGCAGTGGCTGGAGGAAAACAACACACCTTGAAATCAGGAAATCTGGTCCCAGTTCCAGATCCATCTTAGACTTGCTGTAAGAACTTAGGCAAGTCATTTAGCCTTGCTTGGTCTGTTTCCTTATAAAATAAGGCCATAGGATTTGCATTCCCTGTACTGAAAGCACTTTTGGAGAGTCGATCGCAGAACATGTAAAGCATTTTGGGGTGTTTGTTGGTGGTGGTGTTTATCAGGTAAAGTTTATTTAGAAAGTCACAGAGGAGGAAGAAGTGAGCAGAAAAAATGGGCTCAGGAAACAAGTTATAGAGGCAAAAGAAGAGCCTTGGAGCTTAGGAGAGAGAAAGGTAGAGATAAGGCTCCTGGGGGGGGGGGGGGGGGGAGAAGGGAGGAAGGGGAAGGTGCAGGCGAGCTCCCAGGAGGGAGAGCATGCTAAAGCATTTTTGAAAAGGCATACTATAGCAAATGGAAGGTATTTTTATTATTACATCACTAATTACAGATCCAATATCAAGGGTTGAAGGGGGAAAAAACGATAGGGTGGAGTCTATAAAAATCCCCCCTTTCTCATGTGACCCAGGGGTTCCAGACTTGGCTTAAGGAACAACCAGGGGAGAATGCCATTCAGAGCTGCTGTAAAACACAACCCATAATTGCAAGTCAATCATACACATGGCAATCGAGTTGTGAATTATTCACAAATAATGGAATACAGATAACAAGCTCATATTTGTAGCCCTTTGACTCTGAGGCAAACTCTTTTGTTGCTTGGTGTGCTTTTTAATGCACTGGAAAACGAGAGGGTGAAAGCAGCAGGTCACATCATGGAAGCAGGGAAACAGCAGTACCTGAAGGAAGAAAGGCCCGAATAATCATCTCTCTTCAAAGGCGAGTTTGTGACATCTGGGGCCAAGCCAGGTTCTGGAACTCAGAGCAAGGACAGCAGGACAAGAACTCCAATGTCCCCACAGGCCACAGAGAGCCTCTGGTTTTGAGGTCTCGTCTGAAAGACACCCACACACTGGCATTCAATTTGTTCTCTGCAGAGAATAAAAGACTGAGTCAATGCTGCGAGGAAATAAACTTGGGTTCTGAGTGAGTCGGAGCGGATGTTTTAAACGCTCACCCGGCCCCTTCAGGCAGGGGAGCACATACACACTGAAGGACATGGAAAGCAGTCATCGCCTCTTGAAAAGAGTGTTTCTGTTTTCATTATCGTTTAAGGCTGTAGTCAGTGTGGAGCGATAATAAGAAGCAGGCATGGGGGGGGAAAAGCACCCAAATCACAGACATACACAATAAAAAATGCTATTATAGACTTTTGTGAATATAAATAGTTTTTAAAATGAGGCTGCTAAGACTGGCATCTTAGATGCTCCCTGAAAAAGAGTCATGTTTATATATTCCAGGTTGCACCCGTCACCAGTCTCAGCTTCCAACCTCAAAATGGACTGGGTAATTTTGGGGTGAATGAATATCAATGCAGGCTGGTTGTGTTCGGCAAAGCAGGGAGATGCAGATCAAAGTGAAAGGAACACAAAGGGCATAGAAAAAGCACTTGATGCCCGACAGGGGAAAATTGAAAACAAAGGGATAGGAAAAATAAAAAGGAATAAGGACGGGTTTACCCAGAATTCTGTTAAACAATGCATCCTCTGCTGCACCTAAGGACAGGCTTCACTTGGGGATTTTTGTCTTCGCATTTAGCAACAATCCCAAAGAGTCAGGGTGCCAACTTCTTTGCCTCCCCCATTCTGACAAAGGCATTGCATTAATGAATGAGTATTCAATAGAAGCATAATAATACTGCTGCTGGAGTTACTCCATACATACATGAGCTCATAAACTTCAAGGGGAACTAGTTGAAAGGGGACGTGGGGGGAGGGGGGAGGCCGCGGGGGGGAAGGGAGCACATTGTAACTCTATTGTGAAGGTCAAGCTCAATTTGAGCAATGTAAAATAAACATAAGGAAGGACTTCAATGGTGGAGCATGGTAAACCCTGAAAGCATAGTCAGAAGAGCTTGCTGAGCTCTGGCTGGTGTGGCTCAGTTATTAGAGCATTGGCTTGCACACCAAAGGGTAGTGGGTTTGATTCCCGGTCAAAGGCAGGTTTTTCCCCTGACCCTGGTTGGCCAAGGGCCTCATGTGAAAGGCAACGAATCAAAGTGTCTCTCTCACATCAATGTTAGCAATGTTTCCCTCTCTCTTCCCCTCTTTCTCTCCTTTCCACTCTAAAAAAAAAAAATCAATGAAAAAAAATATCCTCAGGTGAGGATTTAAAAAAAATAAAAAGCTTGTTGAATTTCAGAGGTGTGGGCTTCCTGAAGATGGAGATATAGGCTAGAGTAAGTACTATGTATCTTTCAAGTAGTTCAGCTATAAAACACTCAACCAGGCAAAGATGTGGGATGGGTGGTCTACTAGATCGGAGACTACTGACCCAGCTGGAGGAGGTATGGAGGGCTTGCAGGTCTAACAAGTCAGCATCCACCATTGGTCCTAATCACTTGCTGGTGTTAGGCCCATGGAGTGTGAATGAAGAGATGACCATGTGCACAGATCAGTTGAAAATGTAGATCCCTGTATCCAGATCTACATCAAGAGCTCAAAGCAGGACTCGAATCAATCTGCT